ACTCTGTGAAGAAATCAAATTCCAGTAACCTAAATTCAACCGTGGTGGAAAGAACCGAAGTAAAATCCACAAGAAGAAGAAGAAGAAGCAAGTTTTTTCGCTACAGCCCGATAAGCTTAAGAAGTACTAAAATTTAATTTTTAATTTTATTCTTAATATAAGATTATTTCTTTGCAACACCGTTTTTAGTATCAATAAAATCTATAGTAAAATAAATTTAGTAATAATGTATATTTCTGTAGGTCATCTTAATGTAAGTTCTATAAGAAAAAGAAGAGTCTCATTAGCTCCATACTGCCCCCTATACGAGATCATTAAGTGGTAGGCCTCGTTCACCGACCACTTGTTAATGACAGACGCGCGCGTCATGTACTTGGCAATAGCACATGTCTTCGAAGAAATGTTAACCTTAAAAGTTTTGATAGTTCGACAAAGCTACTAGTTAGTTGTAAACTGTAAATAATTTTTAACAAAAGTTTTAATAATAATTTTATTGCATTGTCTAACATGTTCCGGTTGTTTTATATCTAGTTTAATAATAATTTATACAATAATTTTCACCATTTTCACAAACCAACCTCACTAAGTTGTAAGTAAACACATTAATTGTTTATCATTAAATTTTTTAAGATCCCTGAGATACATTTACATTCGAAAGCTTGGAATAAACTTATAAGAGTACATATTTCATTCTGCTGCAAACCCAGTAATTCCACAGTGTGCTCCGTCGTCATAAGTAAACGTACGAGAAAAAGAAGAAGATAGAATAGTCCAGAAATGTCTGGAAATGTCATTCCATGTCAAGAAAAATCCGGATTGTTCGAAAAGGGTCTAGAAGGTCAAAGCGAGCTCTAAGTCGATCCTGACGTCAGAGTTTCAGTTTTATGATATACGTTGCATATTTTGCAGAACCTTTTTCAACTATCCGAATTTTTCTTGACAAGGCATGACATTTCCAGACATTTCTGGACTACACTATTTTCTTCTTTTACTCGTACATTTACTTACACAGTTGTAGGAGAATTTTGAAATAAAATATTTGATGTCGGCATTAAAGATGAATTAAATTATCAATGTTTTATATTGTGCACTTGTAACTTTAAATTTTAACCTCACAACCAGTAAGTCATTTAAATAATTTTAAGACTAAATATTGTAATTATTTTAGTGTCTTGATAATGGAAATAAACATTTTCGAAAGCTTGACGATGATCAAAGAGTTTTACTAAAAATTTTGACCTAAAAAATTTTTGGTTGACTGCATTCCCCAAGGAATACAATTTTTTCCAGTCAGGACTACCCTTCTTCAACCTTTTTCTCTCTCTCTTATTTCAGATAGGGGTGTCCATTAAATTGTACTATTTAGATAGAGAAAGACCTCCAATTTTCATATTGAACAGTATGGATTCTAAAACACTGCCTTAATGTACTCCATACTCAATTTATTCTTACAGTCTGATATCTTTTAGGTAACTTTTAAATAGGAATATAGGGTTTTATCTTATTCCTATATCTTCTAGACATTGCAAAAGCAAATGGTGATCAACCGTATCAAACGCCTTACTAAGATCCATAAATAGACTTAAACAGGGCTGATTTGACTCCATGCTGTGGTTTATTTTAATTAATAAAACTAATAAGGCAACATCTGAAGCTTTCTTTCTTTGAAACCAAACTGTATAGGTGATAACATTTTATATTTGTTTAAAAACTTATTAAGTTAATATTTTATTAGCTTCTCAAAAATGTTCGATAATTGAGTTAATAAACCTTTCTTAAAGATAGGTAGTACGTTAAAAGGTTTTGAAACAATTTTTTAGTATATGTTAACGAAGTAGATTAAATATAATATAAAATAATAGAGAGTTATTGCAAGTTCGCTTAAGATCAGTCACTATTAGTGCCGCTCTTATTTTGACATCTGAGCATGCGCAGATCACTAACTTTAATAAAGATTGTGCCTGTCCTTAATAAGAAAGTTATTGCAAGTTCACTTAAGGTCAGTCACTATTAGTGCCGCTCTTATTTTGACATCTAAGCATGCGCAGATGTTTATGTTCTAAAACTGACTTTATTAAGGATTGTGCCTGTCCTTAATTGTGGATGTTTAAGGGCAGCAGGTAGTGGCGACTTTATAGTTTTTAGATGCGCTCGCCGACATTCGTATCCGTTAGAAGTTTTTTAATATTAAATATTTAATATAATCGTCATTTAAACCTTCTAAAATTATAATTTCTAATGCCTCTTTAATATTATAGACAACAAAAAAGATGAACAATAATTTAAAGTTTAGTAGCTGGCTTTATAGAAATTTGCAATATCTCTCTATTAAGGACAGGCACAATCTTTATTAAAGTTAGTGATCTGCGCATGCTCAGATGTCAAAATAAGAGCGGCACTAATAGTGACTGACCGTAAGTGAACTTGCAATAACTCTCTAATAACAATACACCGCAGTAGATTAAATAATAAGAGACCTAAAAAGATATTTCACATTATTGAGAGTGAAAGTTACATCCCAATAAAATAAAGATAAAAAGGAATCGATCTAGTCCTTTCACCTGATGAACTCACAGTTTCCAATGCTGTAGACATTTTAATTCCACCTGACTCTTATCACCCCCCACTTGTAACTACTTTGCAGCTTTATGTTGATAAAAACATACCCTCTGGAACAGAATACTACTATGATTTTCGTAATGCAGATTTCTCAGCTATACGCCAGTGTCTGGACGCAATTGAGTGGGATGGCCTTCTTCATGGTAAAGAACTTTCCGATATGGTGTGCATATTCTACGATGTAATGTTTTCAGTGATAGAACAATTTGTTCCAGTGAAAAAAATCGGTAAAAGTTCATTCCCTTGTTGGTATTCTCCGCAGCTTAGACAGTTGTTACGCGATAAAAAGTTAGCCCATAAAACTTATAAATGTACTAAGTCTCCTGAACATTACAATTATTTCAGTCAACTCAGAGCTCAATGCAAAATGTTATCAAAAGAGTGTTATGCTAGTTATGTAAGCCGTACTGAGAATTCAGTTGTAAAAAATGTTAAAGCGTTCTGGAAATTTGTAAAAAATAAGAGAGAAAATAATTCTTTACCTGACTCGATGACATTAAACGATACAGTGGCTTCCTGCGGTAATGACATTGCCAATCTATTTGCTAGTCACTTTTCTTCTGTATACACGAACCAAACGCTAAATTTAAATGGAAGTGAAATCCAATCTGCAACATGTGTATCTTCTTATTTTATCCAAATTTCCAAGATCTATGTTAAGCTGTCAACACTTGACACTAATAAAGGGTCAGGTCCCGATGGAATTCCACCCATTTTTCTCAAAACATTTAATTTTGCATTATCTAGGCCACTTTTTCATATCTTTAACAAATCACTGAGCACAGGTGAATTTCCTGACTTTTGGAAACTCTCTTATGTTACTCCCATTTACAAATCGGGTAACAAATCTAATGTAATAAATTATCGCCCCATTTCCATCTTAAGCACAATCCCAAAAATCTTTGAAAGTATAATAACTGATTTTCTAACTCACGACTGCTCCAATATCTTAAATTCCCAACAATTTGGTTTTTCGCCAGGCAAATCTGCTGAACTAAGCTTATTAACATATGCTAACTTTCTGTCTGAAGCTTTAGAGAAGGGTCTACAGGTAGATTCTGTATATACAGACTTTTCCAAGGCCTTTGACAAGGTGAACCATGATCTTCTCGTTCATAAGCTAAATTTATATGGTATTGATGGGATTGTCTTACAATGGCTCGGTAGTTATCTAACAAATAGGACTCAACAGGTTCGAGTAAATCATCATTATTCCCAAATTTTTCCAGTTACTTCGGGTGTTCCTCAAGGGTCTCACTTAGGACCGCTACTATTCAACCTGTTTATTAATGACATCATAACTTGCTTTCCTAACACTAAAGCCCTATTGTTTGCAGATGAGTTGAAATGCTTCAAGATCATTCATGACTATGCCGACACTCAGATTTTGCAGTTGGATTTAAATAAACTAGAAAGTTGGTGCTCTAGTAATGGCATGGATCTAAATACTAACAAATGTCACATTATCCGATTTTGTCGCAGCCATAATTTAATAACTTATAATTATAGTTTATTTCAACATGTTTTGGACCCTGTCGATCAAATCAAGGATCTAGGGATCACCTTTGACTCTTCCATGAGCTTTAATGGTCATATCTCTGCTACAGTTCAAAAATCAATGAAAATGCTGGGCTTTGTAAAGAGGACAACTCAAGACTTCACTAATATAAACACAATTAAAATGCTATACTTCTCTTTAGTTAGGACACAACTTGATTATTGCTCCTCAGTCTGGTTCCCACACTACTTAATTCATAAAAGTAAACTGGATGGAGTTCAAAATAATTTTCTTAGATACATAGCATTCAAGTTTAACATTTATTACAATTATGCGGAATTGCAACAATATTTAAACATACCTTCTCTGGAAGTTCGTAGGAAACGAAAAGATCTTACCATACTGTCCAATATTATCAATGGCAGGTGTAATTGCCCCGACCTCCTTTCCAGAATTAATCTTTTTGTGCCGTCACGTACTACTAGACAAATTCAAACATTCCATGTACCTTTTCACCGTTACAATTATGCGTTTAATACTTTTATTCCTAGAACACTTAGACTAGCTAACTCTCTTCATGATATTCGACTTTTTAACAGTTCTGTTCAAGGATTTAAGAACCACTTACTTACATTGAATATTTTAACGTCTCAAGCAATTCCATAAATTTCATTTAACACATTATAATTTATTTGCTGTTCTGTACATTAATGTCCACTGTTTTATCTAAACATTTTATTCTATATTTTACTTAATTTTTATTATATCACTATTCTATTTTATTGTATTTTTTATTTTATATTGTATTTTATTGTATGTAAACTGAATTGGGCTTTGCCCGTAAATAAATAAATAAATAAATAAATAAATAAAAGCAACTTACATGTGGAGAATAAGTGATCCCACCAATCAGTCCTGCAGAGATAGGCTTTAAGGTCATCAGCGGTTCGTCCTACGATGACGACGGGGGGTGCGACGAGAGTGCGAATCAGGAGAAAAGCGGTAAAAATAGTCAAAATCACCCCAAGTCTTTTCAGTAAATTTGTATCCGTAATCTTAACCGCTTTCGCTGAACGGACACGAAATATAACGGATATTCTGTAAAAAAAATGAAACTATGAGAAAGCAGTCATTCTCGGTGTTTTCATAGTAAATCAATATACCGTATACTTGGGTGGCATTGGTCCACTTTAAACTTTTTTTTCACCGGAAGACATGTCGATAATAGTACTTTCAGCATGCCTAAAATCAAAATTATCCTAATTTGAAAAATGCCATTGTTTATAAAAAGTTAATTCCCAAAGCTACTTTTTCATTTAAATGTAAGGACGGCCACAGTAATAGGTAACTTTTAGGGTCCATTGAGTATGGTATTTATGAGTCATATATACCTTGATATTGGAAATTTGAAGTTCATTTTTTATATATAGAAAAGGAACTAATTTTTTAAAGCCACTCAAGTTTACGTTACCCGATTTCAAGTTAAATTTCCATTTTCTTTAAAAATTTCCAAACAACTCATTCAAATCGAAAAGCCTCTTAGAATTTATCAATTAAGAATGTTTTTCGCCAATATCGCTAGAGGTAGAAAGAAGTATTGTGTTATAAAACAAAAAAGAAAGTGAATTTCCAAGATTAAATTCATTTTTATGGACAAAGTGAAGATTTATTTTAGGTTTTTCGAGAGTATTCCAACAGTATCGATATTTTTATGACAAAAACATTGGTTCATTTTACGATTTTAAACATTCCTAGTAAACTTTTGAGAGCTATAACATATAATACCCCTTACTGGTTTATTCAGCAGCTCTTTTATACAGTCATAAATGTTATTACTATTTTTGATACTATATTTTCATGCCTTCAAAGTCAAGTTTTTCGATTTATAAAACCTGATCCATTTTATAGCGACAAAACTTAAATATGTTAGATTACGTGTCCACGTTATATATACATCAAAAGAGCGGATGATAGATATTTAATATTTTCCGCGTAGTTCTTTTTAGGATGTCAGTATAAAACGAACTTAGTATGATTCAATAGTGCTTTTCTATTTTGATCACTGTGAAACTATATTAGTGAGATAAAAATTGAATCTAAACGATTCATATTTCATGTGTTCGATTTATATATAAACCTAAAACGTTAAAATGGCTTAATATGCACAATTTCCACACTCTACATTTAGGTTGTTGGCTTTTTAAAATCTTAAAATTTAATACTCCTTGTTTTTTAAAAGTACATCAAAAAATTTAATTTTCTACACTCACATGGATATTAGATTATATACGCACAGACTACAGAACGAAAAAGTATGCTACTGCGTTCAAATGAAAGAATATATTTCATATCCATTATAGGAAGTGTTTCGTTCAAATTTTGAAATAAATTTAAAATTTTAATCAAACTATATAAAACTAATTTAGTAGAAGAGCTAACATAGGAGTCTGTGTCGGTCTTCCACGCGTGAAACTTGAGTTCATTTGATGGGATTACACAATGATTCCACTACGTGTAGACTTTGCATGAAAGAGGAAGAAACCTCATACCATGTGATCTTCGGATGCGAGGCTCTTACTAGGCGAGGGTTCATCCTTTTCGGCCTAGAACCGGAAAAAACGTCCCAGGCATACTTAGGAAACTTATTAAAACTAACCAAAGACACAAGACTATTCCAAAGATAGTATCTGAATACGGGGAAAGCAGGAAAATACAATAAAGCCAAAAGGCCGCAGTGTTCTGGGCCAAACCTAACCTTACCTGCTTACAACCGACAAAGATAAAGATAAGGACCGATTTAGGTGTCCCATTTTTGCATATAAGCCTCGAATAGGGTTGAAAAGTACATCGATGTTGAGTAAAATAAAAGAAAATTTACGAGTGGCTCTTGAGGATAACACATGGAAAATTTGATTTTCCTTATCAGAACAATTTTCCGACCCCAAAATGCACTTATACGTTCAGGTCATTCAAGAAAATATATTTTTCGGACTAGTGACGACGTACGTTTTCATATAGTCGATGGGCTTGTGTGGAAAAATCTGGTAAACTCTCGATTTTTCCTTAAAAGATTACGCCCTTATTTCAACCCTTCAGCTGCTTGCAACAATTAAAGCCTTTGATTTTCCGAAGCCTAGTTCTATTAATTAATCATATAGTGAAAACGGCTTGCGTGGAAATATGGGCAACAAATAACTTTTCATTTTTGTTGGGGAAAATCGAATTTTCCATGTGTTATCCCCAAGATCCACTTGTAAATTTACTTTTATTCTACTTAAAATCGATGTACTTTTCAACCCTCTTCGAGGCTTTTATGCGAAAATGGGGCACCTAAACCTGTCACTATCTGACGGTCTATAAAATAATTTTTAAATTCGTAGATTTTCATTAGTGTACAACTGTACAGCTCGATTAGATTATCCATATCGCACTCAGATGAATTAGCACTCCGCCTACGGCGTTCTGCACAAACTTCGTGCGATATGGTCATCATATCCACTATTGTTGCACAAACTACTATTCTGACCGATGTCCATATTATCAATAAAAGACGCAAAAATATACTTACCTTTACATCGTAAATTAATATTAATACGATCAGTTTCTTATGATATCGCTTAAGTTATCAATAGTTTAGTTGAATGCAACCTATTCTTTGTCTCTGTTACACCCCATACATTTAAAACAAATTATAAAAAATATATTTTCCATTTTAATTAATTTCATTTGTTTATTTTTTTAGTTCTATAGTTTTTTTTTTTGTAAAAAGATTATAATATAAAAAATATAATATTAATATAAAAGATTGTAATAATAAAATAAGGGCAAAACCACTGACTTAAATTTTGTACACCTACATCGTTTTGGTAGAAATAAATCCTTGTAAATCCTTAAACATCCTCCATACCCCCACGAAAATCCTCATAAATCCTTCATACCGCCTCAGAAGTCCTCATAAAATCTTCATACTTCCTCCGAAATCCTCATACATCCTAACAATATGTATATCGCTATCTGATTTGCCAGTATGTTAGAAGTTCGTATACAATGTGTTAAAATAATGGAGATATTTGATTATAAATAAAATTATTTTAATTTAAGGAATACAGAATACTATTTTTCAAATCCTATTTTTATAATATGCAATATTTTTGTAACTAATGTTCGGTTTCTGAAACAGTAGATATCTGTCCAATAGACTTATCAAACTGATATTTAGAGAAATTTCGTTTCTGAAACATTCAACAAAAGTTATCCATTCTATAAGTTATCGAATAGATATCTTGCCATTTTGGTGAGATATGTATTTAATAAGTATCTGACGTATGCCTTCATAATTTGATATTTCCAATAAATATATTTATTATTGTTTCTTAAATACCAGTAAAATAACAAATTAAACTCAAAATAATGGATTATTCAAGCTTTTCGGATTAGAATATTAGAAATTATTCAAATAGACGTTGTTCGCCATTTTCGTGTTATAAATGATCCAGTTGAAGAATATAGTGACAACGAATTTAGGGACCGTTTTAGATTTACCAAACACTACTTGGTTGAATTCATCGACTATATTCATCCTACGACTCTACTAAAGAACAATTGCTGATATCTTTAATGTTTTATGCAACAAGTTAATCAAAATACTTTTTATTGCAAAACATAACTAATACAATTTTATTCAAATTGTAGGCTCGTTTCAAATCCTTATAGAAGATTATTTTAAAGTACACAAATCTACTGTTTGTAAAGTACTACGAAAAGTTACTAATGCAATAGCTAGCCTAGCAGCTGAATTTATAAAAATGCGGAAACTAAAAAGCGATTTCTAGAAGATAAGAGGATTTCCTATTCGAGGAGATAATGCTGAATTATTTCGTAATAGAAAAGGCTTTTTTTCAGTTAATCTGCAATGGATATGTGATGCAAACCTACTTTTACGTCATGTAGTAGCACGTTGGCCCGGATCAACTCACGATAGCACAATGTTTAATGCTTCATTGATTTCTTCTCGATTAGAAAATGGACAATTTGCAGATTCATATTTGCTTGGAGATAGTGCATACGCGTGCAAATCATATTTACTTACACCTCTCTCAAATCCTGTTTTACCAGAATAACAAAGATACAATACTGCACATATTGGTACGCGCAATACTGTGGAGATATGTTTTGGCGTCTGGAAACGAAGGTTTCCTTGTCTTCCTTTAGGATTGCGTACTGATTTAGAATCATTGACATTACCTATAATAGCGATAACAGTTCTTCATAATATAGCGATAACAAGAAATGAAGTCGAAGATTTTGATGGCGAAGTTGATATTATAAATGCCAATGTAAATGATGTTTTTGTGAAAGAAAACGTAGTAGAGTTAAATCACGTCAAGTGGACCCCCCATTTTCCACTTGATCATCGAATTCAGGCATCAGTATTTTTTCATGAAGTATTCACTATAAACAATTAATCCCCAAAACAGTTTTTAATAATTTTCATTTTAACAACAATTTTTGTATTAATGAAAATTTTTATGACTTTTAGTTAAAAAATTGATAATTAAAAAACTATTAGAGATATTCTAATGAAACTTTCAGGATTTATAGGTCAATACTTGTTGTTTGATAAAATGTACAAGAGTTTAAATTGTTTATTTATTTTCATATTGTTAATTAACTTTTAAGTTAACAAATGAAAATTTTAATGACTTCTTTAAAAAATGAAATTTTTTTTTTCGGTATTATGCAATAAACATTCAAGTAACAGAATCCGCAAAAAACTTTGACTGCTCGCGATTAGATTAAACAAAAAAAAATATTAATGACGGGTGCCGAGCGTTGTCGGTACAGCGCGCTACCACGCGTCCTTGTCTTACCTTTAGATCGACTCAGTAATTATAAATAAGAAACAATTCTTTATTTTTTTTAATGAAAAAAATGTTATTTAATAAATGATTTTATTGAAACAAATTACAAAAATTTAATGAATAAAATAATTTTTTATAGAAAACTAACAAAAATATTAAAAATTTATCAGTGTTGTATTTTTCGGATTGTTTTTTAGGAAATTCCACTATTTATAATTATTTTAGGTCTTAAACAAA